ATAGAGGGTGACTTTACAAAAGACAATTTTTACAACAGTTTTAGTTTTACAGAAAATTTGAGGAAATAGTACAGAATTCCCATATATCTCACACCAGTTTGCCCTGTTATTTATTTTTTTTAAAGAGAGAGAGAGAATTTAATATTTATTTTTTAGTTTTCGGCAGACACAACATCTTTGTTTGTATGTGGTGTTGAGGATCGAACCCGGGGGCCCGCACACATGCCAGGCGAGCATGCTACCGCTTGAGCCACATCCCCAGCCCCAGTTTCCCGTTATTAACATTTTACATTAGTGTGATACATTTGTTACAATTAATGGCATTTTCTTTTTTTAGTATTGGGGATTGAACCCAGGAGCACTCAACCATGGAGCCACATCCCAGCCCTTTTTGTATTTTATTTGAGAGAGACTCTCACTAAGTTGGCTAGTGCCTCACTAAGTTGCTAAAGTTGGCTTTGAACTTGACGTCCTCCTGCCTCAGCCTCTAAGCTGCTGATTAATGGCATTTTCATTATGGTTCATACTTCATCCAGATTTCCTCAGTTTTTATGTGATGTCTTTCTGTTCTAAGATCCCATCCAGGATAATATATTACGCTTAACTGTCATTGTCTCCTTAGGTCCCTCTTGGCTATAACAGCTTCTTAGATTTTTCTTGTTTTTTATGACCTTGAGATTTTGAAGCGTGCTGCTCAGTATTATGTAGACTGCCCCTTTATTGGACTTTGCCTGGTGTTTTTCTCATGGTTATACCAGGGTTATGGGTTTTGGAATGGAAGAACACAGAGGTAAAGTACTGTTTTCATCACATCATACCAATGATTTATCAACATCCATATTGTTGATATTGACCTTGATCACTTTGCTGAGGTCATGTTTGCCAGGTTTCTGTATTGTATCTTTATTCTTTTTTCCCTACTGTGGTCTTTTGAAGAAAGTCACAATGTATAGTTCACACATAAGGAATAAGGAGTTGTGCTCCACTACCTTGAGGGTATTTATACAAATTATTTGGAATTATTCTGTGTGGGATATATGTTTTTTCTTTCCTATTTATCTGATTATTTATTTATTTAGTAAATCATTTATTTGTATCATCATGGACTCACAGATATCTATTTTATCCTATGCAGAGTAATTCAGTATGTCTTTTCTTGATGCTTGAATTGGCTATTGGGGGCTTTTGCGGTTTTCTCCTGTGTCCCTTTGGCATACCTACACTGATGTGGGAGTTTTGTTTTTATTTGTTTTTAAGCCCTTATTTACTTTCTGGCACAAGATGTTCCAGGCTCATCTTATATATTTCCTGTCCTAGTCCAAGAATCAGCCATTTCTCCAAGGAGTCCACGCAATGGCTATTTTTATTACAAGGTGATTACTCACATAAGGATAAAGGAACTGATGCATGCAAACTATTTTATTTAATTTTATAGACAACTTTTCAGAAACATACCTTTTGCTAAAAGCTAGACTCAGGTATTTTGAAAATTGTGTCTAGCTTTTAAAAGTTTCCAGCTAGGCTTCATTCTGGCCTGCATGTGAAAAGCTGTCCTAAGAAAAGAAGTATCTTTATCTCCATCTCCCCATGAAAGGAGGTCATTGGAGATATTGTGGATATTATAAGGATTTTGTACCAAAACCAATACTGTGGACAGATTACCAGAATGAGATGGGAAAATTGCATTTAGTTCAGATGTTGCCACTGCACCTATATGAACTTGGTCAAGAGTCCCTTCTGCTCTTTTGGCCTCATCTATATAAAGAGGTGACTGTCTGATCCCATTTCTAAAGTTCTATTCAGCTCTAAAATTAGATGCTATTAACAGTAGCAGCACTAACTTTGGAATGGCAGTAGCTTTGGGGAATCCAGGGTGGGAAATAAGGACAAGAATGGAAGTGTCAAGCTGTGAAATGAAGAAGTTGAGAGCTCAGAGAGGCATCATTAATGATCATATTAAATATTAATAGTAATATTAAAGTCTTAATCTTGATTTTGATGTATCCACTCTTTCTGCCTTTGGTCCCTGGCTGATTATGTTTTAGGCTTATAGGATCTGAAACTTGGCTGCACCTTGGAATCACCCAGAATGCATTCAGAACTACTGTTGCCTAAGTCCCAGTGCCAGAAATTATAAACTACTTGGTTTATGGTGCAACCCAGGCATTAAAAATTTCTCCCCCACCCCTAAATCTCCAGCTGATTCTAATGTCAGCCAAGGTTGAGAATATAATTGATCTTGGTTTCCCTGATATAGCATATAGATTATAGGTCCTCAGAATACCTCAAATATAGTAGCTGATGAATTGGATTTAGATGATATATTAGTTTCTTGTTGCTGCTGTAACAAATTACCCAAATGTAATGCCTTAAAACAACACAAATGTCTAAAACAGGTCTTGCTGAAGTCCAATACAGTACTCCTTCTAGTTTACTCTAATGGAGAATCATGTACTTGCCTACTCTAGCTTTTAAGGCTCCCCATATTCCTGATCACATCACTCCAGTGTTGTTTCTGTTGTTGTACCTCCTTCTGTGACTCTAAACCTCTTGCATCCCTCTTATAAAGTCTGCTTTGACTATACTGGGCCCTCAGGGATAAACCTCCCCATCTCTAAATTCTTTATTTTTTATTTTTTATTTTTTTTGAGAGAGAGAGAGAATGAATTTTAATATTTATTTTTTTAGTTATCGGCAGACAAAACATCTTTGTTGTATGTGATGCTGAGGATCGAACCCAGGCCGCACGCATGCCAGGCGAGCGCACTACTGCTTGAGCCACATCCCCAGCCCCCATCTCTAAATTCTTAATCACATTTGTAAAGTCACTTTGGTTTTGTAAGGTAATATATTCACAGATTCCAGGAATTAGGACCTGGAATATCTTGGGGCGGGGGCGGGGGTATTATTTCATCTACCACCAATAGAGACAAAGCAACTACTGTAATTACAGCCCCATAAATAGAATTAAGTTGTACTGTGATATATGATTTCCCTTAACTGTGTATTTCTTGTTTTTAGCTGTGTTATGATTCAATCAGAGACCATCTCTGTGGAAAGTTATTTACCCTAGTTAAAAAAAATAGAGTGGGGGGCATTGGGGATTGAAAACAGGGGCACTCTGAGCTATATCCCTAGTCCTTCATATTTTTTATTTTGAAGGGTTTTGCCAAATTGCTGAGGCTGGGCCTGAAACTTGTGATCCTCCTTTCTCAGCTTCCTGAGCCTGGGATTGCAGGTGTGTGGCACCATACCCAGTTACCCTAGTAAAAATTTAACAAGTGAAAAAGCAGTAAGAAGCAGATAGATACAAATTTTTAAGTGATTCAGTAAAATGACATTCAGAATTGTAGTTGGGTATGGTGAGTTTTAATGGGCAGGCAGAGATGCTTGCTCACTCTGGCCTTCAGACCTGGGGCTGGCTGGGATCTCTGTCCTGGGGTTTGCCTGCCTCCCTCATTCTCCCCAAGTCTGGTGGTGCTGTAGGACAAAAAGCCAGCTGGCACTTCCAGTCCCACATGCAGCTCTGTATGCTGCTCCTGGACAGAGTGTGAGGGCTGGCTAATAATACATGGGCCCAAAGGCAGAACCAAAGCCAGATGATGGAGGCAAGGAGAGAAGGCAGTGGATACAGAGAGAAGGATCCTGAAAGACATGGTTTTATATAAGAGATTTGCCATTTACTCTGAGTGCACCAGCCCTCCCTTGCCAGATGGCAGAGGACCTTCATAAACAACTCCCATAAGGAAAAACATCTTTCTCCCAGCAAACTTATTACCTTATGACCTTATTACCTGTTCTAGGGGCCCAACTCTCCTCCCACAAAAGTCCACAGGGTGGCTCTTTCCAGCTGGTTTCTGTCTTGGAGGACAGTGGATCTAGCCAGCCATCTCCTTCCCTACTGAGTTGGTCAAGTCCCTGCTGCTGAGAACTCTCCCCTGCCAGAGCTTGGCTTCATCTATTGCCATGGTGATAGTCAGCTGCTGCTTAGCACCAGCCTGGAGACTGGGAGCAAAGAAAGGAAGGGTAGCCGAGCGGGGTACACACTGGGGTTTCTCAGCACTCCTGGAGGCCTGAGGGGCTGAGAAGGCCCCTCTGGGGACTCCCAGTAGTCTCTGATGGGTTTCTTCTCTCAGGGAGGAGCCATGAAATTCCCCCACAATGGAATCAAAATTTATAAAGGCAGTTCTGGTACTTACACACGCATATTCATGCACAGACTTTCACATTGGAGTACATTTTCTTTCTTTCTTTCTTTTTTTAACCAGACACTTTTTTGACCTCTAGTAGGGTCAGAGAGCTGGGAGTATGCATCCATCTGAGCCTGCTTTAGCTGTAAGACCTGCTCCTTAATGTAGATGGATCAGAATTCAAAACTTCACAATTCCTATGTGAATTTGGGCAAGAAAACTATGTTTTCCATGCATTATTTTACTTAATTCTTTTAGTAATCTCATTCAATGTAGTTGTTCTCAATTCACATCTGCAGATACAGAAATTGAGTCTCAGAAGTTTGTCTCATATGGGGTCAAATCTGCCTCACTCCAGAGTCAGAGTGTGTGTATGCGTGTGTGTTTACTTTTTTCTGTTGTGTTCTGTTTTGATGGGGTATTTTAGGTGCTGAAGATTTAACTCAGGGCCTCCTGCATGCTAAGCATATGCTTTACAATTTAGCTATATACACCCTCAGGCCCCTGGGAAAGCCCATGTTTTTAATCACTGTTCTGTATTAAACTTGAATTGCCTTAATTTCCTCATCTGTAAAATGAGGATACTATCTGCCTCACAAGATAATTGTGCTATGAGGATTGAATGAGATAATGTTGGGGATAGTATCTCATGGCAGATACTATCAGCAGTATCATTGGGGGAGAAATATACTCACCCCTTGGGTCCTGGAAAATTTGACCCTCTGCTGTCCCAGGAGGATACTCACACAGAGTTCAGGGTTCTTTGGTTTCCAAAAATCTCAGGGTCTGGTTCTTTCCCTGTCTCCACAGGTGATTTCCATGGTGATGGTAGGTGTGGGTGTCTATGCCAGGCTGATGAAACACGCAGGTGAGCTACAGGTCTCCCTTCACTTCCCCAGGGCTCTTGGTATGTCTCTTTCCCCTCTGCCCCCTTCAGCCCCATAGCTCCTGCAGGAAGGTGCAGGGACAGGACTGAAGGAGGCAGCAGTGAGATCTGGGTGGTCTACTCCAAAATGCCAGCACATCTGTGCCAATTCACCTGGCTTTTCCTGAGTGTCCCAAGGTATGCCTACATTTGAAGTTTAGGAGTTGTCTAGGAGAGAATCCAGCCATCTGGTAACAGAACAGTCTAGGGCTTTACCCGCCCTGGGCTTGTCCTGGAGTAACTCAACCTCCATTCCTCTTTCTCTGTACAAAGTCTCCAGGAAACAGAATCTGATAGCTGGCAAGCCTAAAGCAATTCTAATTCTTTTCTGGAGCGAAAGTGGCTGCTCCTCTCTTAAGCCCAGTAATAAGGCTCTTACTTCCTTACTTCCTCAAATGAAATGCCATAGCCCCGCTTGGGCCTCTTAGTCCTCCCCATAGCAAGGAGGCATTTCCTCCTCATAACCTTCACCCAGCCACACTGGAGATTGCCTCACCAGAGGAAGGACCACAGTTCGGGAGTCCTTTCGGTGGGCATCAGCCTCAGACTGAGGGTAGGCCTCTCTCCCAGAAGCAGCCTTGGCTTACCTGGAGGTAGACCCTGCCATCCTGCTGATTGTGGTGGGTGTCCTCATGTTCCTGCTCACCTTCTGTGGCTGTATTGGATCCCTCCGTGAAAATATCTGCCTCCTGCAGACGGTGAGTGGTCAAGGGCCCCATGGAGAGACAATGGCTCCCTCCTCCTTGTTTCTCCAAGCCTCCTGATACTATTCCTATAGCCTTTCTGTTTCTGGCTCCTCTGTCCCACCCTAAGGCCTATGCTGTCCACTTCTCACTAGTGCTCAGCTCCAGGTGACCCAGAATAGGGTGGTCATCCCCAGGACAGTGTCCAGAGGCAGGAGCCTTTCCCATGTTAGTGAAATGTGGGGAAAATGCCTGGTGGCCCCCCCAACACTCCCCACAGCCCCAGAATGGGCTGCTGCCCAGGATGATAACAGATGGTCTCCTTTTCCTGCCTTCTCCCTACAGTTCTCCTTCTGCCTCACCATTGTGTTCCTGCTACAGCTGGCTGCTGGGGTGCTGGGCTTCGTCTTCTCAGACAAGGTAAGGTTGGGAGCCTAGGGGCCTCTTCAGATGTGACCCAGAGGGAGGAAGGAAAGGTTTCTGCTTGTGTTTAGCCCAATTAATTAACCACAGTGTTCCTTCCCCAGAGAAACATCAGCCTTTGAAAGGTTCTCCTTGGGGATGAATAAATGGCCTTTAAAGTCACCATATTTAAAGAGAATTTTGCAATTGTAGAATGTTTTCCTTAGAAAGCCTGAGAGGCCAACAGGGAAGAAAATTCTATAAACATGAAGTTAAAATGACCTGTAAACTTTAATGGAAAATGACAAAGTAAAAGTCAGTGATCAAGTGGACCACAGACAACATTTCCTTAAAAAAATTATTTCCTTAAAAATAAATTTTTGAGAAGACAGAGGGAAGATAAGGGGAAAGAACACACAATTTTAAACAGTGCTTACCATATCTCAAGGTGGTGTGCCATGCAGTGACAGTCCTTTTTATTAAGAACCAGAATTCCAGGCTTGGTATGAAGCACAGTGGTAGAGGGCTTGCTTAGAAAGCACTAGAATTCATGAGGCTCTGGATGCAATCCCCAGTACCACACACAAAACAAACAAACAAAAACAGAATTCCTTTCTCAAAAGGCAAATGATTACCAGGGACAAAGTATAGGACTGTGGACGGAAATTTTTTTAAGGGAATATCATGCTCCAAACATTTCTTTATTTTATTTATTTGTTTTTATGTGGTGATGTGGATCGAACCCAGTGTTTCACACATGCTAGGCAAGCACTCTACCACTGAGCTACAACCTCAGCCCTGTAGAAAAAAATTATGAGAAAATATATTGGAGCAGAAAAAGAGCAAGGTAGACAATTATGAAACTGAGAGCCGCTAAGTTAGTTCATAGTTTTCTAGTCCTTTTGGCTTAGTAAAAATCCTAAAATGATAAACAGATCTGCTGAGTCTTAAAAGATGCAATCCTCTTATGTCCACTAGAGGTCAGTGCCTCTTCTCAGTAATCATCTTTGGGAGGGGGGGCGAGGAGAAGGAAAAAAAGCAATTAGTTTCTCTACTTTGAATCAGTCGATAAATGTTTTGAGGTATACTGGGTTATTTTGACATTGTAACTCTGAGAAATGGTGACAGCAGTCCAGCATTTCTCTTGCCCACTGGCACCTGAGGACCTTGATGAAGGCTCCTGGGAACTGGCCATCTCCCCTATTAGGACTTGGTTTTGATTTCAAGACTGACTCAAAGAAGGATGATCTGAGGAGGGAATACCTTTGATCTTTGATTGCTGCCCTAAACTTTGACCTAAATTTAATGTGTGATTCTTCCCCACTCCTGAGAGATGTCCCAGTATCTCTTTGGAACCCAGGCCCATAAATATATCCACCTCTTCCATTTTGGCATTAAAGAGGAGAGGACATGCTTCTTTTCTCTCCTATCTGGGTGTCCACAAATGAAGGACAAGAGGTCATTGCTGTTGTCATGATACCTCCTTTAGACTCTCCCTGCTTATCCCATATTTGCAAGGACAGGTGGTTTGAAGCCTGGCTTCCATCCAGCAAAGCTGATAGGGCTTCTCATTAACCCTTTGGGCCTCTGAAGGACATAGGCCTCCTGAATGTGTTTCAGGAGGAAGCTTTCTGGTAAGTTACTGGTCTTCATAATTTGAGAGAAATATCCAGTGTCTAAAAAGAAAATTGGAATGGGAGGTGGTGGGAAGTGAATCATGGCAGAAGGATTAGAGTTGGGGCAATAGAAAGGGGCCTGGGGCCATTTGGCTGCACTAACTTTAGTAGCCATCATATACACCTGGATGGGATGGGAAAGGGAGCCAAGCTGTGCCTGGCTGCTTAGAGCTTGGCATAAGCATGGGAAAGGCTACCCTGGGGCTCTGACCATGCTATATTCTATGTGGAGGGTCCCCCCTCTGCCGTCCCACAACTTCTATGACAATAAACTATAGAGAAATCACGGAGTGGGGGAGGGCAGTGATCCTTGTCTACTGTTATTTCTATAAGAAGGAATAAATTAGGGATTAGTTCTATGTCCTAATTCTATCCATGTCTCTTGTAGGCTCGGGGGAAAGTGAATGAGATCATCAACAATGCCATTGTGCACTACCGAGATGACTTGGATCTGCAGAACCTCATTGATTTTGGCCAGAAGAAGGTATGGGCTAAGCTTGGTGGGGTCAGCTAGTGACCTTGAGGCTTCAAGTAAAAGTTAGCATTATACCAGGAGATACCTCAACCTTCAGGTTGGTAGGCCTCTTTGTTACCTGCTATGTAATGGATTCTGGAAAGGATGTTGGCATACACACACACACACACACACAGTGCCTTAAAAGTATTTTTAAGGACACAGAATGGTATATATAGTAATCTACCATTTGTGTAAAAAAAAGTCGGGGGAGGAGAGAATATATATTCGTATTTGCAAAAGCATTCTGGAAGGATTTGTAAGAAACTATTATAAATAGTTCCTATGAGGAATTGGGCAGATTTTTTGATTACTTATTCGAAAGTTCATTTTTAAAAATTGTGGTAAAGTATTTCTGGCTTAAAATTTACTGTTTTGTTATGTTTTGTATTTGTGATGCTGGGGTTGAATCTGGGTCCTTGCATGTCATAGACAAGCACTGTACCACTGAGCTACATCTCTAGCCCTAGAGATGTATGTGCCACTGGCTGTGAATGTTCTATAGTATTAAGAACATTCACAGCCAGTGGCACATTCTTGTCATCCCACCTACTTGAGAGGCTGAGGCAAGAGGATACCAAGTTTAAGGACAACTCTGGCAACTTAGTGAGGACCTGTCTGAAAATAAAATTAGGGGGAAAAATAGTGGTTGAGTGTGTAGCTCAGTGGTAGAGTGCCCCTGGGTTCAATTGCCAACACCACCAAACAAACAAAAAAGAAAATTGCTTTGTAACCATTACCACCATTCATCTCCAGGACTTTTTCATCTTCCCTTGCTTAAATTCTGTACCCATTAATTACTTATTCTACATTCTCACCCTGGTAACCACCATTCTACTTTATTTCTCTATAAATTTGACTACTCTAGGTACCTCATGTGGACAAAACCATACAATAGTTTCCTTTTAGTGACAGATGTATTTCACTTGGCATGTCTTCAGGTTTCATCCACATTGTAGCATGTGTCAGAATTTCCTTCCTGAAATATATATATATATATATATATATATATATATATATAAAATAATTGAAATATATAAAATAATTATCATATATAATTATATTATATATTATATATACATTATATATATTTTTTTAGTTGTAGTTGGACACAATACCTTTATTTTATTTATTTATTTTTATGTGGTGCTGAGGATCAAACCCAGCACCTTGCACATGCTAGGCAAGTGCTCTACCACTGAGCCACAACTCCAGCCCCAAGGCTGAATAATTTTGGAGTGTAAAAATTACATATGATTTAGCCAGTAATCAATTGATGAACACTTGGGTTGCTTCCACCTTTTAGCTATTGTGACTGATGCTGCAAAGAATCAAAAGTTAAAATTTGAATAACAGTACTTTTAAGACCAGTGCCCCAGTTCTATGGTGCAACAGACACTTGACTCTGGGATTCAATTTGCTTTCACAAAGTAATTATGGACTCACAATATTAAAGATTCCCCTCTTGTGTTTTCTGTATCTTAAGGTAAATTTTTAAGCACTGATTCTTTAATTATTTTAGCCAGTAGTTTTGGATAGTTTTTTTTTTTTTTTTTTTTGTTAGTAGTACTGGGATTGAATTCAGGGTCTTGTGCATGATAAGTGCATCCTTTACCACTGGGCTACACCACCAGCCCAGTATTTTTGAATACTTTCTTCTTCCAGAATCTGTGCTGTGCAGAACTACAAAGCCAGAACTTTCTCTCAAGGAGTTTATAGTTGAATGTGCAAAACAATACATATATACACAACTGTAGTATCGAGCACTGTCGTAAATTATAAGAAGACACATAAAGTAGTAGAAATTAAGAAAATTTCTTCAGGTGAAAGCAACTAAAAGGCTCAAGCTTAAGATTCAACTTACAAAAAGTGGAAGCTTACCAGGCATGGTGTTGCACACCTGGAATCCCAGCTGAGGCAGGAAGAACATGAGTTCAAAGCCAGCCTCAACAACTAAGCAAAGCCCTAAGCAACTTAACAAGACCTTGACTCTAAGTAAAATATAAAAAGGAACCGGGGAGTGGCTCAGTGGTTACGTGTACCTAGGTTCAATCCCTGGTACCCAAAAAAAAAAAAAAAAAAAGTAGAAGTTTGCCATAGATAAGTTTTGAGAATTCTTTGAGAATTATCCTGGCCACCCCAGTGTGAGGGGTGGGTGACTTTTAACCTCTGCAGTGGGCTTTCTTGCAGTTCAGCTGCTGTGGAGGGATTTCCTACAAGGATTGGTCCCAGAATATGTATTTCAACTGCTCAGATGACAACCCTAGCCGTGAGCGATGCTCTGTGCCTTACTCCTGTTGTTTGCCTACCCCCAACCAGGTAAGCAAACATCCCCCCTCATTTCCTCCTGGGTAGTGATCTGGGTTACTTTCTGAATAGGGCCGTTGCTGTTGGGGCACTCCATTCCCTAACTTAATGAATCAGTTCTGGAGGGCATTTGTCAGGTGTTTTTTTCTTCTCCCCAATCTGAGGCTCTGTTCACCTTTCACTCTAGTAGCATACTTCAGGGCTCAGAGAGGCAGATCTAAAGCAAGAAGTGGACCAGACCTCTCAAAGAAGGGAACTCAGGCTGGGGTTGTGGCTCAGCAGTATAATACGTGCCTAGCATGTGCAAGGCCCTGTGTCCGATCCTCAGCATCACATAAAAACAAATAAATAAATAAGAAGGTATTGTGTCCAATTACAACTTAAAAAAATATACTTATTTTTTTGTTTTAGGTGAACACAATATCTTTATTTATTTTTATGTGGTGCTGAGGATCGAACCCAGTGCCTCACATATGCCAGGCTAGCGTGCTACCACTTGAGCCACATCCCCAGCCCCTATTTTAAAAGGGGGAGGGGAACTGTGCATTTAGCAATTTCTAACCCAGTATTCTTCAAAGATGTTCTCTAACAATTTAGGAATTTAGGAACGGTGAGAGGCCCTAGGACCCAAAACGAAAAATATTTGAATGGGAGTCCCATTTGGCTTTTCAACTGTCTCTCCAGGCGGTGATCAACACTATGTGTGGCCAAGGTATGCAGGATTTTGACTACTTGGAAGCTAGTAAAGTCATCTACACCAATGGCTGTATTGACAAGTTGGTCAACTGGATACACAGCAACCTATTCTTACTTGGTGGTGTGGCACTGGGCCTAGCCATTCCTCAGGTAACTTACCCTGTAAGACTTGTAGGTCCCACAAACTGTGCAAAGACTCCTTTGTTTGGGGGAGGGCACTTGGGGATCCGCTGGGGTGTCAGGCACTGACATTGATGAGGGCCAGGGGAAGGGATGGTGCTGGCCACAATGGGAAGGCTGAGTCAAGAAAACAGTGGCATCACTCAATGCTGAGGACCCAATTCCCTTTGCTTCTCCCAGCTGGTGGGAATTCTGCTGTCCCAGATCCTCGTGAATCAGATCAAAGACCAAATCAAGCTACAGCTCTACAATCAGCAGCATCAGGCAGACCCGTGGTACTGAGAATCCTTCCTGCACCTCCTCACCATAGCGACAGGCAATCCAATGGAGATTTGGATTCCAGCCCCCCACCATTGGTGACCCAGCAGGAGGAAGCAAACTCCAGATGGGCAGAAGGCAGGGCACAAAGGTGGCTCAGGTCTCAGAAGGATGTATCTCCTCTCCTCTTTCCTAGTCCTCATATCATTATTTTGTATTGTTTCTAACCTTAAACATTTGGGTTTAAGTTTTGGGAAACAGAAGTTGCACAGAGAGTTGTGGGGGGTACTAGCTGCTGCCTTTTCACTGAGGTACTACAACTGACAGCTTTGTTAGGGCTGCTGCTGAGCTTGGTGGACATACTTAGATGCTGCTGCCAGAGAGACCTGGCTGCAGAGAGCAGACACCAGCAGCCCTGCCTGGAGTCCAGTTGGCATGATACCAGCTCCAGAAGGGAAAGGAGTGGAGCAGGCAGTGGGGAGAGAGCTTGGGGGTCAGTTGGGGACAGCTGTGTGTGTTTGGTAGGAGTGGAGAGGGGATATGTTTACCAAATGCCTGCCCTGCCATCCTCCCAGGTAGTCAGAATGAGCTACATCCTGCCCTCCCTCATTTCCGTGGAAACATGGCAGCAAGGGTAAGGGATACAACAGCTGCCAAATTTATCCCCACCCCATCCCACCCCCTCTGAAAAATTTGGAACCATGGTCCCTATACTCTGCAGTCAGCAGATGTGGGACTGAGCCATACATGCCCTTGAATTTCTGTCTGACCCTCTCTAGCAAGTGGGGTTTTCTTTAACTTGGAAGTATGCAGAGGTGTGGAAATGTCTCCTATCCCTATTCCCCCTGCACCAGAATCTAGTTTTTCTACAGTGTAAGAAGCAGCAATCTTGCTGGGCTGGGGAAGCCAGAAGTGGCAATAAAAGTTTGTTGACATGGGCTGAGCTGGCCTCATTGAATTTTCCATTCTGGCAAACAGAAGGGGAGAAGCACAAGGGTCCAGACGATAGGCCCTACCTCCAGGAGGAGACTGGAGACTCTCCTAAATGCCACAGTACCTCCCTAGCCCCCACACCCCATCTACCTCAACCTACGCCTCTCAGATCTGAATAAGATCGAAAGATTCTCAGTTCTGATTTGGGAATGTTGTAATTTTATCCTACCACCAGACGTTAACTTTTTTTTTCCGAATTAAGTTACCACCCAAAACTTAGGCTGCGGTAGAGAACCTCTCCGCTGGACCAAGGAGGGAGATGAGAGGAAGAAGCCCATCCTTCTGCCTGGTCGAGGCCCGCAGGCCGGCTTCTCCATCTTCATCTGAAGTTGCTTGGGAACCGCAGCCCACCCTGGCGTAGGAAGGACTGAGAACACTTTGAACTGTGCAGGGCTTTCTCCGGCCAGGAGCAGCGTGTGGGGCGGGGCGGCGCCTCCGGGGGCGGGGCACGCGGCTCCGTGGGTGGTCCCCGCCCAGCGGCGGCCGGGCACGCGGGAGGGGGTTGGGGCTGTGGGGGCGGGCTAGGCGGAGAGTGTCCCCCAGTGTCCCCCGAAGTCCCCTCGCCGACCCCTGCTGTTGGGGTCCAGACTAAGGACTTGGCCTGACCGGGAAAGCCTGGAAAGGCTCCTGCGGTGCTGGCAGAGGAGTCGCAAGCTCGCCCCCGCCCTGCGAGCCTTCTGCTCCTGGAGGGCGCCTTTCCAGCAGCAGCCTGGGGCCCGGCCAATGTTTAGCTCCTAGCTAGTAACAGAATGGAAAGAAAAAATAAAGTCATCACGAATATAAAAGTAACGGCCTTTTATTCTGGGAGAGAAGAGCGAAAAAGCGCGCTTTCTTGGCAACGTGCCTTTCTTGCCTATTGCCAGAGACATGCATTTTATACTGCCGCAGTCTGGCTGGGCACAATCAGGAGCCACTTGTCAAAAGAAACTAACTTTATTTTTAGAACCACACACGACAAACAAAATAGTCTCTCAGGAAAAACCCTCAGAGCCTCAACTGCCACCACCAGCTTTCCCCAAGCCTCTCTCTCCCCCACAAGCTTCTCTCCACCTCCCACAATCCTCCTGCTCTTGAGGCCGATTGGCTGGGTCACGTGGGCGGAGCCAAAAAAGTCCCCCAATGAGCAGCTCCGTGGTCTGAAAGGGCAGGGAAACAGCCCAATGAGCATCACCGCAGAGGAGCCAATCAGCTAGATGTTGCTGGGGCCGAGGAGCCAATCAGCTAGATGTTGCTGGGGCCGCTGTGAGCCAATCATCAGCCAGCAGCTGGAAGTTTGCTGGCAGCTGGAAGTTTGCTGGGGCCCCTTTGGCTGTGGCTCTCAACATCTCCCCCTCTCTGTTTAAACAACAAGCATGTGGCTTAGGGACCGTGCCTGTTAGGCAGTCCAATTCAACATATGGTCCTTACCCGTCATCGGATGAACTGACCTCTAGGCGTCAGCCTCCTGTCTTAGGTTGGTACCACTGCAATTGGATCATACCCGTCACTGACTACCGGTCCAGCATACAGCCATACTTGTGGATAGGCCTTTGCACCAGTGGGGGGGTGAGGTTCTTTGCCTCACCTCTGTTGGCCCCCAAATTTTAGACCATCACTAGTAGAGGAGGATGCAAAATGCCATGACATTAAGCCAATTGAGGGCTCCTTGAAAAATTGTACCACCGGTGACACCATCAGCAAAAATACTCCAGCACTACCACAATTCGCTGCACCAACAGATAGTTCACAATGCATACAGGTGAGCTCACAATGTGTCCAGGCAAGTTCTGCAAGCAGTTCAGTGATGGCTATTGTAGAAACTGTAGATTGGTTTTATCTTTGACTTCACCAGCACTGGGATGAAGATACGAATTCTGGCAATAATGGCTAAAGAAAAAATTATGTAACATTACAGAAGGCACTAAAAGAAAACAATTTTCTTAACAATTTACATTGTCTTCACCGGCACTGGGATGAAGATAGGAATTCTGGCAATAATGGCTAAAGAAAAAATTATGTAACATTCCAGAAGGCACTAAAAGAAAACAATTTTCTTAACAATTTACATTGTCTTCACCGGCACTGGGATGGAGATAGGAATTCTGGCAATAATGGCTAAAGAAAAAATTATGTAACATTACAGAAGGCACTAAAAGAAAACAATTTTCTTAACAATTTACATTATCTTTAAGAGAATTATTAAATATAATGAAAAGGAAAGGTGAAAGTAAACAAACAGATCTGTTAACCTTCTTTTTTGTTTACATATTAAAACAATCCTCAACAGTTGTTTACCCAATTTAAATTAAACCATATGAATCACGTGAAAAAAAAATATTTGGATCCATTTTATCATGAGCGCTCATCATATATGATATATGGACATACGTACATTCAAACATATAACACAAAACACAAGTGTGCACACATAATAGAATACATACAACACATAACATTATAGTAAAGGCCTTATAACTTTTTACAGGTGAAATCTCCATTGCAATGTTTAAAAACTCTATAGTCAAAAAATAGAACTGATCAGCAAAACATTAACCTAGGTCTGTATGAGCTCAAAAAACAAAATAGAACTTCATGATATGGCAAAGGGCAATAATAAAATAGATATTGAAAAAAGCATCCTGGTTCTGTTGCAGATGTAAGAATAGCCAAACTGGAGTTTTGGATATCAGTTGTTATGGATTTGAGCCAAATCATCTTCTTTTTGGTCTGTAGAAATCGCTTTAGTTAATCTTTCTGGAATCCAAATCGGCTGCTGTTCTCCCTGTGGAAACACATAAACAGACCCCCGCCTCCAGACAATCACTGGGTCAGGACCTTGGTTAATCTCTCTGGAATCCAAATCGGCTGCTGTTCTCCCTGTGGAAACACACAAACAGACCCTCGACTCCAGACAATTACTGGGTCAGGACCTTTCCATTGTCCTGTTAGAATATCCTTCCAAAGTACCTTGGGCTTATGTACATTTTTTGGACACATATGCCTTTCCACAGCACTAAGTCCTGATGAATCCAAATTTAAAAAGTTTAGAGTAAAAAGGGTTATTTTAAGTTTATCTTTGGGGAATATATACCCCTTCCCAATTCCTTCTTTTTGCTTTAATAAGTACATTTTAATAGTTTGATGAGCTCTTTCAACTATGCCTTGTCCCTGTGGATTGTATGGGATTCCTGTTATATGAGTAATGCCAAATGTTGAGCAAAATTGTTTAAAAGAGGTAGAAGTATAACCAGGGGCATTATCTGTTTTTAACTGTTTTGGAACACCCACAGTGGCAAAATTTTGTAAGCAATGAGCTATAACATCTTTAGTTTTTTCTCCGGCATGAAGGGAGCCCATCAAAAATCCAGAAGAAGTATCAACTGTAACATGCAAATATTTTAATTTTCCAAATTCTGGCAAGTGTGTGACGTCCATCTGCCAAATATGGTTAGGTATCAATCCTCTAGGATTGACTCCAAGATTAACTTGTGGTAAAAAGGTCACACAATTTTGACATTGTTTTATTATTTGTCTAGCTTGTTCCTTAGTTATTTTAAAATGCTTTTGTAAAGTATTAGCATTGACATGGAACTTTTTATGAAAATTTATAGCTTCTTCTAGTGTAGAGAAAATATGTATGTCATGTGTAGTTTTATCTGCTAAATCATTGCCCAAACTAAGGGCTCCAGGCAATCCTGTATGTGCCCTGATATGTCCTATAAAGAATGGATCTTTTCTGTCCCAGATTAGACTTTGTATAGTGGAAAGCAAAGAGAAAACAGTAGAAGAAGGGGAAATCCTACCAGCATCTTCAAGAGATACTATAGCATTAACTACATACTGACTATCAGAAAATAAATTAAATACAGAATCTTTAAACATCACAAAAGCTTGTAAAACTGCATTAAGCTCTACCTTTTGAGCTGATTGTTTGGGTACTAAAAATGTAAAAGTTTGATCAGGGGTAACTACTGCTGCTGTACCATTATTTGACCCATCAGTGAATATATTTGGAACATTCATGATAGGTGTTTTTCTTGTCATTTTTGGAAAAATTACAGGATGCAATGACCAAAAAGACAATAAAGGATTAGATGGTGAGTGGTTATCAAATGAAACATTAGATTTGCACATGATTATTGCCCAAGTATTTAACTCATTAGCTAACTCATCAATTTGATTCATAGTATATGGAGTAATAATTTTATTGGGAGAAATTCCAAACACTCCCTTTGCTGCTTTTATTCCTTTGAGTATTAATTGTCCTACAGCCTCAGGATACCTAGTAAGAATAGTGTTAGGAGAATAAGATAAATGTATCCATAATAATGGACCTTCTTGCCAAAATACTCCTGTAGGAATATTTTTTGTTGGTAGTACAATAAATAATAAAAGCAAACTTATATCAATTCTATCCAAATGCATATTTTCCATATATGTTTCAATGATTTTTAATGCCTTTCTTGTTTCAGGCGTTAACATTCGGGGTGAATTTGGATCTGATGGACCTTTTAGGATATCAAATAAAGGTCCCAACTCTCCTGTTGGTATACCTAAATAAGGCCTTATCCAATTTATGTCTCCTAATAACTTTTGAAAGTCATTAAGTGATTTGAGTTGATCTACTCGTATTTGAATTTTTGGTGGACGGACCATGGTTGAGGATAATAGAACTCCTAAATAATTAATTGGAAAATTTAATTGTACTTTATCTATTGCTATCTCTAGATTATAATTTTTTAATAAGTTTGTAAGTGTGGCATAACATTCTAGCAATGTGTTTTTATCTTTGTGTGCTAATAATACATCATCCATATAGTGAAATATTTGTAGTTCAGGATTTTGATTTCTAAGTGGCTGGATTACTTTGTTAACATAAATTTGACACATAGTTGGGCTGTTAGCCATCCCTTGAGGGAGTACTTTCCATTCATATCTCTGATCAGGACCTTCATGATTCAGTGCA